GCGGGATGTGATACCCCCTCGCCCCCGCCTTTTTTGGGGGGCTCTCGCCGTTTTCGTGCTGCTTCCAACTATTAACCCGAAAACTCGGAAGAGGTTAGGTTGTATTTTCCTCCTTGATTCAAGTCAGTTAAGGACATAGAGGCGTTAATACAATCACTTCTCGCTCCCCAGGCCGCCACTCATTCTCAAAAATAGTCTATTTCTAGATCACAAGACAAGTTGCTAGGGTAAGCTTTGCCTGCCTGAGGAGAGAGAGCCTGGGATCGAGGTTACCAAACTCACTGGAATCAAAATAAAATCGTAACGAGCACACCAGTACAATGTTGCCAGGCGTTTATTTTCATTTCCAAGCTTCTTGCACCAGGCGATACCCCGTTCATACTCACAGAAGGTACGAGACTTAATGGAAGCCCTGCAACCCGCTCTAACATGCTTCAAACAGCAGACATCAGGGCATGGGTTTACAACAGTACTACCCGTATATTATATCTCAATCACAACATCTTGAACTTAAACAACAAATATATGATTAACATCAACTATATTGAAGGTCTCTTTCCCTGTCGTGACTTACATTGTCACGAAATATTCTCTTTTCCGAGTGAAGCGTTACGTAACAAGTGAAGTGACGATTGCTAAGAGATACTACATACTTTGATATTAGGATATCATTAAATTTAACTACATCAATTCTTATAAAATCTGAGTTTATATATCAAACACTACTTCCTATTTGTAAATTTAATAACAACAACGGGATGAAAGTTGCTGACTGCCAAATTGTGCGCCTTGCGTCTAAGCCTTGCACTGTTTCTTGTCCAATCTGTTCAAGACTTGGACTTCCATCAAGTACAGTTTAATTCCTTTGACATGAAACTACTTGCTGCGGACCAACTGAGAAAATAGCTGCTTAAAGAAGATTTTAGCGACACGGTAAAAATTAGTTTCAAAAATAGCTTGGAAATTCCATCTGTATTCTGCGTACTAAAAATAGGAGTAATTTCTTTTTATATTATAAGCGTAATATCTTGTTTTCAAGGGTCTACAAAAGAGATCATGATGTAACGCTTTCCCCATGTCACGGGCAATCCTTCGTGGTAATGCGTGAGCCGTCCTGGGTGCATGAAAGACCAGCCTCGGCGAGTTTCCGTGACTTGACAGTTGTAACGCAAAAATCTGCATCCCCCGCCCTAAGAACAGAAGAAACAATTATCAAACAAACATCGAACAAGAAAAAAAATGAACACAGCAACGTCGGTTTTATGAACTCGCTAAAAACGTTATATCTAAAGGACCGACCGTTCCCATTTATTTCATTCAACTTACCGCAGTTCATAATATATTACGCAGCAATGAGACGCTCGTATATAATCAAGGCTCCGTATTTTTATTTTAATGGAGAAAGCGCGCGAAAAGTGGCGACAACCATTCCGCTTTTCACTGGCTAAGATAACGCAGCCTCCATTCTGATTGGCCAAGCCTTTCGCATGTCTTTTTGCGTGAAAACCCACTGAGAAACACTTCGAAAACGTTCAGATTTGGTTCAAATGATTGCTGTTGACTTACGCTTTGTTGAGCAGTGGTACTTACTCCGTGGTCAATCCCTGGCCTAGTCAAAGCAATGTTGATTGTGTACGTTGAAGAGTCATGATGTGGTCTGAGATAGTACTGTCGGTTAGGATCGTACTTTACAACAAAGTTCATGACGGAACGAGCCTGAACAGAACAGAAACAAAAAAGACAAAAGATTAAAAACAAGAAATCGTTGGAGTACATTCTGACCAGTGTCGTTTCCGGCGAATCTTCGTAAAGGACCCGAAGCGTTTCCGACTATTGAATCTACATCAGCTTGTCGCCGACAGTAAACGTCATCAAAATCTTCGGGCTACGAACGTAATTTCGGCTCTCCCTGTTAGAGTCTGACGCTTATTATTAAGAGAGTTTGAGGTTTGCGAGAAAACGCTGCAACGACACATCAAAGTACCAGGCGACAAAACTTCGCAATAGACTAGATAACGTCACGAATTTCTTAAATTTTGACACAAATATTTAAGATGATTTTTCGGGTTTATTCGTACCTCAGAGTTGTAACCAGGGTACAGTCTGGCGTTGACAGGTACAATGAACTCTTTGAGAAAGTGAAGCCAGTGTCTCTCATAGCCGATCTGCGGAGACAAAAAACAAGCAAATAAACAAACTCTTGGTACGATCAATTCTCCACTGAGCACGGCGTTACTACAGTATACTACACTGCTAAGGTGAACCGTGATGACAAGAAGAACTCACAGCAATGAAGGTCATAGCATATAACACATCTCTTTCACCAATCATGACAAAGGTGCTTTTTTAACAATCAATCAGGAACAAACATTAAACCAATCTTAGCTTGACTTACGCACGTTTTCCCGCGCATAGCACAGGCCAGCCAAGAAGAGCAGCTACCGACAGTGATGAAGGTTACAACTCTCCAACCAATCAATGCAAAGGTACTTTTTAACAACCAATCAGGAGCAAACAATGATAAAGCTACGATCGCCTACGTGCGTTTTCCCGCGCTTCGCACCGGCCGGCTGTACGCGTCAGCTTGGAGTTGTGATTGGTTCGTTGCGATGTTCCAATTTGAGCACTGGGATTGGCAGGATGCGATAATTTGGTTTTGAGAGTGATCTTCATTTCCTGCTAACATCTGTTAGAACGTTATTGATAGCAGCTAACCTTTTTTTTTGTATTTTATTGATATTTATATAAGTTTATAAATAAGAGTGACAATAACAATTGAAATTACATTTGCAGATAAAAGAAAGAAAAACTAGATAAACTAACGTGAGTACAGATAGAAAAAAAAAACGAGGAATACTATTACTAATAAGACTACTTACGAGGAAAATACTAATACACCCAAAATACTTACTAACTATTTATATTCATGAATAAAACTACGCTAATTTTTACTTTTTTTAGAAGAAACTACATAGATTAACACTAGTATAGATGAAGAGAAAAAAAACAAAACAAGAAATACTGTTACTAATAACACTACTTATAAGGAAAATACTAATATACCAAAAATACTTACTATCTTATTAATATATTAGTAAGTTAGTAAGATAGCAGCTAACCTGGTTCATGTGTATGTCGTCCGTCGGCACATTCTCATAGCCTCCTGAGAGTCGCTTATCCTACGAAACACACAAGATTAATAAGAATAGTGGTAACTTGGTTGTAGGAAAAGACCAGTCACAAAATAACGAAGAAGAAAGCAAAATTCAAGTTCACCTCATGTTTTCCTCCAGACCAGTCACCAAAATGTTCCATTTCCTAAATAAAGTAACCATAAGAAAATTAACACTTACATTGTACGAAAAATTGGCTTTAAAATCTGTTGGTCTCACCTCGATAAGATGCTTGGCAAAAGTATCTGTCACGATAGGGAACCAGTACACATCGGGACAAGGCTACAAATAAATATACAGTCTACAATCAGAGAAGGTCTGCAAGATAGTGCGTAATTCAGGAACTAGCTACATACTAACATGTGCTTCTACCAACATTTGTTTGACGATCTCACTGTGGCTTTTACGTTAAGTCTGCATACGAGCAAAGTGGCCCATCAGCCCGGCGCTTTACTCCGGTTTCTGTAGCATGAAGTGACAAGGGGTATTTCTATTCCCCCCTGGATGGGATGCTAGTCCACTGCAGGGTTACCCCCGGCTCCAGCATTAAATTTGCCGGTACCCATTTATACACCTGGGTAGAGAGAGGCACTGCTAATTCCGTAACAACTATTCTTACCTCTTCAATAGGAACGCTGTAGTTCAGGTTCCCTGAATAATTTTCATGAATATATTTCTCCTCCCAGTCCTAGAAAAACAACACGCACAACATCAAACCATGTTGAAGTTTGTCGAGTGTGATATTAAGTTATTCAACTTACTGGAATATGCAGTTTCTCTGTGCGCATGTCAAACTCAGTCCTCCTTGATTTGGAGAGATTTAACGTCACTTGAGTGGTGGATGAACTGAACTTCTCAAACTGATTAATAATTCATCAAGTTTGAACAAAGGAAATCATGACCGTGACGGTGTTTCGAATTCAAGATTTTGACGATTTTATTTCTCCGTTTTCTCCTTAGTTTTAGTTTCGATTGAGAAGATATATCAAACACTCAAGACAGTGCATTTGTTTGACCACGTTTCCAAACACCTCGAAGTTCGTCAAAAATACTCCGCTGCGCCTCGTTCACAGTAGGTCAACTTTTTTATATTGAGTTAAAAAAAAGCTCAGTTCATAATTTCCCTGTTACACTGTGTCAACAATGAATGGCAACGTAGTTTCAATTTGTTATGTCATTCCAAATACTGGATTTAAATAATTTTGTAATCTTCAACGGTCAACACATCTCAAGCCCCAAAAAATTCAGACTAAAAATTCTCTAAATACATGCATTTAAAAAGTTCTCAGATTTCAGCTGCCAGACAATAGTGTCCTTTGATGGATGAATCCTTCTTTATTGAATAAACCCAGCGAAGTCATAATTATCAGTCTTAGTCTAGGCTAGCGTTGTTCAATTTTTACAAGCTTACCAATCTGTTGTCAAAGATCTCCCATAAATCATTGTGCAAATGATTTGTGTTATAATTGTCGGTCTCCAGCAGACGACCAAAGTCATAAAGATTGGTGGCATACATGAAAATTCCCTGCAAAATGAAAAAGAAACATCATTCCAGATACTATACTTTGTTAGACAACTTCTCACTCATCAGCAATTCGTTAAGTTTAAGCAAAGGAAATCATGACTGTGACCACGTTTGGATATCTGATCTTACTTGGCATTGATTCTAACGATTTTATTTCTCCGTTTTCTACTTAGTTTTAGCTTCAATTGAATTTTGAAGTTCGTCAAAAATACTCCGAGCATCGTATTTTCAATTCTTTACTTGATGTTTGGAAATGGGGTCAAACACAGTCTTTCATGTTTCATATAGTACTTAAGTTACTTTGTCTGTTCAAATGGGATCGCTTACATGTATCAGGGCAAGCTTATTAGAAGAAGAG